CAGGCGGCGTCGGCGGCGGCGTCCGCCTCCATCTTGCCGGAAGGCGGCGGGCGGGCGTCTGGGGGCGGTGGGGATGGCCCTTGGGCTAGGCGCGGACCCCGGCCGTGTGGGGACCGTGTGGACGCCCCCGCTTCCGCCGGCCGGGTGGGAGCTCCTTCAACGCGGGCCCCGCTCTCCCCGGCCCGGTGGGAGCCCCGTCCACGCGGGGCCCCCTGTCCCCATCCACGCGGGCCCCGCTCTCCCCCGGCCCGGTGGGAGTCCCGTCCACGCGGGCCCCCCTTTCCCCTGGCCCGGTGGGAGCCTCGTCCACGCGGGCCCCCCCCCCTCTGGCCCGGTGGGAGCCTCGTCCACGCGGGCCTCCCTCCCCGCGCAGTGGGTCGAGCCCCTGTGGGCCCTCGTTGGGGGTCGTGCGGATGCAGATGCATTAGCAGAAACTGTAGACGGGGACCCGAGGCGGGTCCCAGGCTTCGAGGAACTTGGTTGGCTGTTCGGTCGGTTCGGTGGACTTTTCCTCGGAAGCAGAGCGCTCATGCGTGGGCGAGGCTGTGCGCCTTTAGTAGAACCCGGCGAGTTTGCCGAGGAGTCCAGTCGGGGAACCCCCGGTTACCTAACCCTGCCCTTCAGCTCAGCCCCCTCCCACCCTCCGGTCTTGTGAGAGCGGCATGGAGCACGAAGCCGTGTACCTTCCAGCATATTCTAAGGTGGATGCTGCAGGGTCCAGGCTCCCCAGGACTCGATCCACACCGCGAACTTGGTGCCGCACGACCCTCGTTCCCGCTCCCTGCTCCCCCGGGTGTGTTTGGGGCCCTCCTCTAAGTGGTGTCCGCTAGTGTCTGCCCTGCGTGTGGCCTGTCTCCCCGAGCACGCTGTCACCAGGCGGTGGCACGTGTGCACCTGCCATGTGCTCTCAGGCCGCGCTGTGGGCGCGCGTCCGCCGTTTCCGTGGCGCGCAGAGCTCGCTTGGGGCCGCCGATTCCGGGTCCTCTGGGTGTGGAGGCACAGTGGAGTGCTGGATCGTAGGGTAGTCGTGTTTTCAGGCTTCGGCGCGGAGCCGCAGCGCCGCACGTCGTGCGACCGTGTCAGCCTTAGGGAAGAGTGACGCCGGAGACTAGGCAGAATGCTGGTCCGCAAGTGGTTTCTTCAAAGGAGGGATCTGAATGTTGGGGAAGATGCCGGAGGGGGGAGGAATCTGTAGTCACGGGCCGACGTGCAAGTGTTTCTAGGAGTTTAGAACACTGTGGGGCTGAATTCAAATCTAAGGCTTAAAATAACCCGTTTGGTGGCTGAACTGAGAAAGGAGGCCCCTGACGTGCTTTCTCTGAGCCAGAGAGGCTGCAGGCCGGCAGGGCTGGCCAGCTTGGCCCGGTGTGCAGCCCCGATTGTCCCGGGGAGGCAGGAAGGACCAGAGGGGTCGCCTCTGGGGGGCAAGAGAAGTTGGAAATCTGGACTTTATGTGAACCCTGTGAACTTTGACAAAGTTGGCAACTAACTAAGTTTTGAAACTCTGTGAAGATGCACGAAATGGTGCCTATGGGCCCCTGGATGCAGCTGTTGCTGTGTTCTTAGTGTTTTTTGCAAAGGAAAACACTTGGGATCTTGCAGGAGACGTGGAAGGCCAGATCTGAATCTGATGTACCGACCACACACGAACATTTTTGTCTCGTTTTTGTATATGTATGATCAAGAATGATACTTTAACGATACCAATATTTTATTTACCTTAAAATTAATTGGGGCTTGACTCATGCTGGTCAGGAACCCAAGCTCTGGATGGAGACCCAGGCTTCCGTGTCCCCTTCACCACAAGCCTGGGGCCACGAAGGTCGCACTCGCCCACTGGGGAGTGCGGTTCTGGTTGTTGAGCTTGTTCTGTGTGTAAATATCCTCGTGTCAAGGACCTGAACTGTATTCTGTGAGGTAACTTTCAGGTGTGTTGTTGTGAAAACTTAATACAGTTGGCATCGGAGAGGCAGGAATTCAGTTTTGTGCTCCCCAAAGTTCTGAAATTTGAGGGAGCACAGCTGCCTGTAGAGAGGATCCCTACCTTGCTGCAGCTTTTGGTTGAAGTGTGATTCTCGTGGCCCTGTGGAGCTCACCCAGTGGAAACAGAGGTCCTTGCTTGGTGAGATAGGCAAACCGTGAGAGATCACCAAAGTTCAATATTTTTTCAAGTACAATTTTGTTTATTTATTATTTTTAAAGGATTTTATTTTTTTTTAAGTACTCTCTACACTCATTGTGAGGCTCAAACTCAAAATCCTGAGATCAAGAGTTGCATGCTCCACTGGTGGAGCTGGCCAGGTGCCCCTTGAGTACAATTTTAAAGTAGACTTTTATGCATGTCGTTTAAAGGGCTTTGTTTCAAAGCTTAAACCTAGAACACAAAAGCTATATTTTAGAAATGGGCAGGATGTCTGTCCATGTCAGTGAATTCATCATCGTAGCTTTCCTCATTAAAGGCATCTGAAGACAGCCGTCAGGTCCCCGGAGGCCCTACTCCAGGACTGTGTGGCCCAGGACGTGGGCTCTCCCACCATCAGCATCTCACGCCAGAACGGTGCATGTATGACCGAGGCCAAGCCTACACTCGTCACAACTACCCTACATCCGTGGTTTATGTTCTATGGGGTTTTGACAAATGTATCACTGTTGTAGTGTCCTACAGTGTCTTGTCACTGCCTGATGCCCCCTGTGCCCCCTTCTTCATGCCTCCCTCCCTCACATCTCTGGCAACCAGTCATCTCCCCCGGGCCCACAGAGTTGGCTTCTCAGACTGGCGGACACTTAGCAAGGTGCAGCTAAGTTTCCTCCGTGTCTTTTTCTGTCTTCATAGCTCACTGATTTTTATCCCTGAATGATACTCCATCGTGTGGAACGTAAACATCTGTTTGTCCCTTCACCTTTTGAAGGACTCCGTTCTTCCCAGTCGGCTTAGAACAGCACTCTGCGCTTGAGGTGGGACGGGGCAGCATGGCCATGCCGCCCCCTGCACCAGCCCCTGGCCCCGGGGTGGACGTGGCTTGTCTGTACGCCTTGGAAACCCTACCAGACAGGGTCGAACTTGCTTTCAGGCTGTCGTATAAAGAAAGAGGAAAACGGTTTAGTGTGTCTTTACTCAGATACTTATCATTTCGGGTGCTCTTGGTTTGTCCTTGATGTCCAGGTCTCCTCTGCTGTCCTCTCCCTTTGTCGGAGGAATATCCCTTTGGAGCGGGTCTCCCCATGACCAGTTCTTTTACTTTTCCTTCACCTGAAGATGTCTTTATTCTGCCTTTATTTCTGTAGGATCTGTTCATCTCGTAGAATCCTGGGCGGACAGCTCTTTCCTTCAGCGTGTTCCCGATGTCCCTGCCCTCCGGCCCGCTGGTATCTGGCGCGAGTTCTGGGCCCCGTGGTGGTGGTTCTCAGGCCTGTGGTCTGTTCTGTTTGGCTGGCTGCTTTCGAAATGCTCTTACTTTGTCTTCGGTTTTCAGCAATTTGATTATGATCTGGGCATGGAGTTCTTTGAGTTTATTCTGTTTGAGGTTTGCTGAGCTGCTTGGGTGTGTAAGTTTACACCTTTCACTAGATTTGGGAAGTGGTCAGCTATTATTTCTTCAAAAAAATGTTTCCAGCTTCACACTTTTTTCTTCTTTCCTTCTGGGACTTCAGTGATACAGATGTCCAACTTTTTTATATTCTTCCACATTCCATAAGCTCTGTTCATTTTGGTTTTGCACCTTTTGTCTGTTGTTCAGGTTGGATAATTTCTACTGATCTGTGTTCATTTTATTACTCTACCTCTATCTTCTCCCATCTCCATTCGGATGGTGAGCCCATCCAGTGAATTTTTTGTTATAATTTTTCTTTTTTTTTTTAAGATTTCATTTATTTATCTGATAGAGCTCAAGCAGGGCGAGTGGCAGAGGGAGAAGCAGGCTCCCCCCTAAGCAGGGAGCCTGATGCAGGGCTCAACCCCAGGACCCCGGGATCATGACCTGAGCTGAAGGTGGACGCTTAACCGACTGAGCCAGCCAGGCGCCCCTAATTTTTTCTTTTTAATTCTCAAATTTCCATTTGGCTGTAACTCCTGTGCTGAGACTTTTTATCATTCCACTTGTTTCAAGAGTGTCTGGCTTCGTCCCTGAAGCCTGGTACACCAGCTGCTTTAAAGTCTCTGACGATTCATTTCAGAGTGGGCTTTTCTTGATTATTTTTTCTCTTGAGAATTGGTCAGACTTTACTGCTTTTTGTTTAATATTATTTTATTATGTTATGTTGATCACCGTACATTACATCATTAGTTTTTGATGTAGTGTTCTGTGATTCATTGTTCTCGTGTAAAACCCAGTGCTCCATGCAGTACGTGCCCTCCTTAATACCCATCACCAGGCCAACCCATCCCCCCACCCCCCTCCCCTCTAGAACCCTCAGTTTGTTTCTCAGAGTCCATAGTCTCCCATGGTTCGTTTTCCTGCTTCTTCTTATGTCAAAAGATTTTGGGTTGTATTCTGGATGCTTTGAATATCGTGTTGTGAGGCTCTACGTCCTGTTTATATCTCAGAGGGAATGTAGCATTTCTGTTAGAGCAGGAAGGCAGCCCAGTTAGGTTCAGGCTGCAGGTTTTGAGCTCCTCCACTGGGCACGGTCCTGACATCAGCTCCGTCTTCAGAGCCTGCGCAGTGCTCTTTGGAACTGACCTGTAGGGTCCATTCTCCAAACCTTTGGTTTGCCATTTAGGGTCAGGCCCCCCCACAGACAGTTGAGGGGTGGACCCAGGCACCCCTTCCATACCTCCTTACTCTGCACAGTCTCCCCCATACTCTCTGGCCCCAGGGTCCCCTTGCTCTGGCTAGAAACCTGCAGCTCTCGTGTGTCCTCTGTGCCGTGACACCTCAGCACTGGGTCTCCCTTGGGCACGTGTCAGCATGGAGAGCAGTGGGGTCCCCCAGGCTTTGGACCAGTGTGCCTCTAGTCCCTCAGTATTAGGCGCCTGCTGGGACACTACCGTCACTGGGGCTTGCTAGGAGACAGAACCACTGAAAAAAATAATAAAAGCAGGTCATTTCCCCCTCTTCTGTCTTGTGTGGGTTTCCCTTCCGTTTCTGCAAACCAGAGACTGGACTTGTCTCCAGATGCTTACTGTGCGCAGTTCTGGAATGCAGGCTTCCTGCGATGAGGCCAGGGGACTCACCTCCAGAGGAGTCCACTTGGATCCTGGTCTCCTGTCCTATCCCCTGCTGCGTGACCACTGAGTTTTCGGGCCCACATGCTGCAGCTCCCTGCGTTCTGTTCAGAGATTTTAGTTCTCACAGTGGAAAGATGGGTGGATTGTGATCATCCCATCTTCACCAGAACCAGCAGCGCTGGAATAGTCCTCCTCTTGCTGTCGTTTTTGTCAGAAAGCAGCAGGCTCAGACTGAAGGATGGGTCTTGGCAGGTACTTCAAGATGCAGGTGCATCCCCAGAGACCACCTGAGACCCTGTGCCCTGCCTGTGGTTTCCTCTAGGGCTTGGGACCCTGGCGGACTGACACCCCTGGTTCCGGCGTCATCTTCAGCTGAGCCATGGCAACTCCGGATGTGAGTGTCCACATGGAGGAGGTGGTGGTGGTCACAACGCCAGACACCGCAGTGGACGGGAGCGGCGTGGAGGAGGTGAAGACTGTGCTGGTGACGACAAACCTGGCTCCTCACGGGTGAGACGGGGCCTCTGTCCTGTGAGGGCCACTCGGGCTCTGGCGGGTGTCCTGGGCATCGCATGGGGCGGGGGCTGGGGGGTGTCAGGAGCTTCCTTAAATACTTTTTTTTTTTTTAAGATTTTTTATTTATTTGAGAGAGAATAAGAGAGAGAGCACAAGCAGGGGGAGGGCAGAGGCAGAGGGAGAAGCAGGCTCCCCGCTGAGCAGGAAGCCCGATGCGGGGCTCGATCCCAGGACCCTGGGATCATGACCTGAGCCGAAGGCAGACGCCCAGCTGACTGAGCCACCCAGGCGTCCCCTTTACTTAAATGTTTGAAACTCAAGTGTCCGTGTCAATGGAGAATGTGAAGGAAAAATAGAAGCCTTGCATCAGCCAGGACGCAAAGATAATGCTTCATTTTTATTTTTTTCTCCCATGTCAACATGGTCACATGGTCTTCATTTCTGAAGATACGTGGTAATTTCTCTGAAGATGAGATGGACAGTAGGAACAATTGGGGACTGTTTTCAAAGCGAAGTTGACATTCCTCACAAAAGCTGGGAGTTTTTTCTTCCTCATCTCTTGTAATAGACGAGCACGTAGAACATTAATTGGCAAGGCCGCCGGGGTGGCTCAGTCGGGTAGGCGTGTGACTCTTGATGTCAGCTCAGGTCACGATCTCAGGGTGGGGAGGTCGAGCCCCGGCTCAGGCTCCGCACTGGGTGTGGAGCCTGCTTGGGATTCCCCCCCACCCCCCTTCCCCGCTGTCTCTCAAAAGAAAAGCGTGTTAGTTGGCAAAGAAGTCCACTTTGACCTGATGGAACTGTCAGCACGTAGGGGCGGAATGGCTGACATAAAGGAGGAGGTCGCCCTGGGCAGGGGGCTGGCTCCCCTCGTGCTTCCTGCCCACAGGGCTTTAGGCTGGGGCAGTCTTGCTGTCGCTGTCGTCTTTGCTGTGTGTGGCACGTTCACACTGACCTCTGCACATCGCTGCAGCTGGGGTGAGCTTTTGCCTTTTCCCGTCTGATAGAGGTTTTGAGAGGAAGGTACTAGACCAGGACCCGACCTCAGCACCGATCCCCGTTGCCGGCCTAGACGACACTTGGGTTTTCATTCCTTCGCACAGCTACCTTGCAGCTGCTGTGTGGCTCCGCGGGCCTGGAGACTCTTCCTGCCTCATTTCCGCCACTTTGGAGCTATGCTTCCCAACTGAGCTTTTTAACTCGCCCTCCTGCAGGCAGGATGGAGGAGGGCTTGGCTCCCGCTGAGGTCCTGGGTTCGATGGATGTGACGCTCAGCTGCTTCCGTGGCAGGAAGCGCAGGGCCTTCCAGCTGGATTTCCCACCCAAGTTCTCCACCTTGGCGTTGTCTGTGTCCCTGCTGTGGGCGGGTTTCCAGGTGGTGACACCAGTGCCTCCCCTCCCCACCGGGGGCGGTGCCCAAGCCCCCTCTCTTGGATTTGGGACGGCCTGTGGTGAATAATTCACTGTGTCAGGAGCGGGTACGCAGGTGGAAAAGGCTGAGCTGCCTCCGCCCGGCGCCCTGCATGCTGTAAGGAGCCCTCACCCACAGCCATTCTCGCGGAGGTGCTCTGGTCCTGGTCAAGCCCAGCTTCGTGTCCCCCCATCCAGGCAGGGAGGGAGACTTGGGTGGATCGGACCCCACACTGGAGTCTTCTGAGCGGCACCCAGCACTGTGCCAGCTGCCGTGGGGTGACGTGATTCGGAGCTGCCAGTGTTAAGCGTGTCCAGGGCTGCCTCCTTGGGCTGCTCAGATTCCCCAGACCACATACGTCTTCATCAGCTCTGGTGCCATACCAGCCTACCACAGGCAGGACGGCTGACGCCAAAGAAACTGAGCTGCTTGTGGTTCCGGCGGCTGGGAAGTCCAAGATCAGCTCTGGCTCCCTGGCTTGCCAGGGACACCTTCTCACCGTGTCCCCACATGGTGGACAGAGAGAGTCCTCTCTCTTCCCCTTCTTATAAGGTCACAGTCCTTATGACCTCATTTAACCTTAATTACCCCCTGAAGGCCCTCTGTCCACATTGGGGATCGGGGCCTCACCAGAGGAGTTTGGGGGAGGACACAGTTCAGTCCAGGGCAACGTGCTACCACGCTTTCCTGGAGGGTGACTGTCTCTGCGTTCGGTGTTCTGGGGGCTGGGCTGCGGGCAGGAGGGGTCTCACAGTCCAGGGTGCTTGGGTTCTCTCCATGCCCCAAGTACAGGGGCCATGTCAGCGGGGGCGGGGGGTGGCTCCTTTCTCCTCCCAGGGCCTTGTGCTGGGCGAGGCTGGCACGGTGTCTCGGACGGGTTTTCCCGGCCTCAGCTGTGTCCTCTCCTAGTTGTCCTTCACTCTTGCTTCCAGAGGCAGCTGGTGCCCAAGCCTCTGGGTGTGGAGCGTCTCTTCCCACCTTTATTTGCCATTTTACCGGGAAGTTTACAACAGGTTCTTAAAAATTAAAAATAACAATTTATTATTATAAAATATATGGTAGAAAATTAAGAAATACTGATGAGTAAATACTAAAGCAGCTTGTGTTGCTACCACCTGGGCATTCCTGCAGCTAGCACTCTGGAGTAGGCCCTCCCAGGCGCCCTTGCTCGCATGCTGACATGCACGTGTCTTTCTCCGAGCCTTTTTGTTATTCAGTATAGTGTGCATAGAGAAAGCGATGTTTCCAGCCCCCCAAAGCCCCCGCACGCGCCCTTCCAATCCCACAGATGAGATTGATCATACTGTAAGTGCTGCTTTGTGTTCTGGTTTTGTTTTCTGTTAGTCAGGGATCTTCACTTTTCCATGTTGACACGTTTTCATCTCTTCTACTCTGTTCGTGCTCATCGTGGGTTCCTTGAGGTAGGTCCCTCTCTTGCTTTGGGAGGCCGGCTGCTGGGGACAGTGCCCTGAAGATTCTCAGAAGCCCTTTGGCTAGGCCTGGCCCAAAAACCTGGGGTTTGAACAGAGGACCGTCTAGCCAGTCTTTGACTTGGTCTTTATCCTGAGGCCATTTCTTACTTTAAAATCTTCTGCCAGGTGGAAAATTAGGGATGTGAAGCAGTTGGACCCCTGTGTTCCCTGTAAATTCTGCACCCCACAAGATGACTGTCTCCCTTTTTCACACATCATTGTCTGCGCTCCAAGAAGCTGGCTGTCGCTTTCTGCTTTCTGAGATTTTCCTTAGGAGAGCCACACACAAGTCCTTTAGGGTCTTTTCCACCTTCTCCGTGACTGTGGCTCACATTTTGCCAGTTTTTCCTCTGCTATATGGCATGGGGTCCCTTCTCCAAGCCTGCTGCCGCACTCCTGTCCTCAGCCTACCCCCGCTCACCATCTCGGTGCTTTCTCCCAGGATTTTGTGATAGCAGCCCGCTTCTGGGACAGTTTGTTAGGTTTGCTGCATGGCCGCCCCAAGCGCAGGGGCTCAGTGCAGCGTGAGTTTGTTGTTTGCTAGGACCAGGCTGGCTGGCCTGTTTCTAGCCTGGGCCTGCGCTGCTGGGTCCTGCCGGGTGGTCTAGCGTGCCCTCACTAGCTGGGATGGCTGAAGCTCTCTGCTGAGGACCGCTTCCTGGCTGTCTTCATGGTGGAAGGTTCCAGCAGCAGGCGTGGGAGCTGCATCCCACTGCCCATGTTGGCTGGTCATTTATGGAGGAAAGGAGAGGCTGCATGTGCCGTGTCCCTGGGAGGGAGAGCCCACGCTGTGGTAGGGGAGGCAGCCTTATCTTAAGGGATCTACAGATACTTCTCTTTTTTTCCTGGGAGAGATTTTACTTACTCTCCTACTAGTTGGAAGCTGAGATTCACTCTTGCTGTTTGTTTAAAAAAAGGGTGTGGTGAAGAGGCCATTTCACTGCTTTATGCCGATTTCTTCTCTGGCTGGGTATTCGGGGGGAGAGCTTGGGAGGGTTGCTCATGTGTGAAAGCCCGCCAGGCCTGCCTCCCACCCACTGCTTTGCCACGGTGACGGGCAAGTGTGGCCAAGGCTGGGAAGAAGAAGGTAGCATTTTGTAGATAGCAGCTTCTGCCAACATTTACTTTAAGTAAAGTGGACGTTTTTCAAATGAAATTTGAACAAATGCCAATTAATTGACTTCTGAGAGCAGTGGGGGATTCATTCCTGGTGTGCGTGCGGTGGGCAGAGGAGGGCAGTCTGTCCCCCGTGTCTGCCTTCCTGGACGGCCCTTTGGTCACGGTGGGGCCACGGCCGGGTTTCCCCGGGGTGGTCCCTGTGGATGGCTTGCTGCCTGTGTGCACACGACCTGTGCTGGGGCCGTGGCTCTGGCTCTCTCAGGTTGGCGCCTCCCTGTGGCCCACTCCTGACTCCCTTTTCTTAGGGAGTCTCCTGGGTGAAGGGTCACGCTCCCTGCTTCATCATCGTCCCTTCTGCTTCCCACGTCTGGCTGGGAAAGACAACTTGCCCTTTGGGTTTGTGCACCCTCATTGGAGAGCTCATGTTCTCACTCAGTGCTTCTTCACGTAGGAGTCGCTCCTAATGGGCCCCAAAGACCAGACTCCAAGTTTGTGTTTCTTGTCAGCTCTCATGTCTGACCTGGCTGGCGGTCGAATAAGGCCTGGGAGACTCGGAGAGTGGCCTTGCCTGGGCACCATCTATGGTGCTGTGGGCTTGGGGAGTCTCTGCTACAGGAGCGGTCGTCAGCAAGCAGGGGAGGCCCCACTGTGGGTGTTGCTCACTGTGTCAGTTCAGGCCCTCCGGGGAGCAGGTGGAATTAGATGTGTCGTGTGCACACATGCAGCAAGCCATCTGCGGGGACCACCGCAGGGAAACCCAAGGAGGGTGCAGGGGAGGCGGTCTGATCTTGTGGGAGGAAGGAGGGATGGGAGGGCTTGGGTGGGAAGAGCCTCAGACCCGGCATGCTCTGAGAGGCCCGGCCAGGCCCTAGACGCTGACAGACACCATGAGAGGGGCCACGGCTTGGGCAGTTTGCTGGGGGAGTGAGTGGCTGCCCATGAGCCATTCCTGACTGCTCCTTTGGGTGTGACCAAACCTCTTCCCACAGAGAAGTGCGTGACTGGCCCTCAGTGGTCGTGAGGGGGTACACCTGGGGAGTCCTGTCCAGGCCCCACACCTGCATCCCCCACGGTGCTTTGCAAGGGTGAGGGTACGTTATCTGTTGGGTTAGTCCCTAGAAGTGGGTGCATGCTGTCCACCTATGCCACCTGCCTGCCAGGCCCTGGAGATGTCTCTGGCTCGAGTGCGCTGGACGTGGGTCAGGTCTCCGCCCTCGGGCTTGGCCTGTTTTCCTCGGGGCTGTCCTGTCGATCTCAGGGCTCCTTAGGTAGCATTGGAAACAAGCTGTCTTCCTTGTGCCGTACGCCTTTCCCCCAACTCTGTCTTTTAAAATAATCGTTTATGGGTTTTTCCCCTGTACAGAAAGTTCTTGGGTTTTTTTTTATTGTTTTATTTTACTCGTTTTTGGCTGGGTACAGTATACTTTATTGGTGGTACATGATGAGGTAGGGCTCCCCAACCCTTCCCCTTTTTCAGGCGGTCTAGGATGGAAGCCATGTGGAGGTCGGGCGATTTCTCAGTGTGTGGGGGGATGAGTTGGGCAAGGACTCCCCAGAAGCTGAGGACCTCTCTCTTCCTCTGGCTGGGGCTGGTGGTCCAGGGGCTCTTACTTCTTGGAGACCACTCGGTTGCTGTGGTCAAACTCATTGTCGTACCAGGAAAGGGGCTTGACAGAGTGGTCACTGAGAGCAGTGCCAGCCCCGGCATTGAAGAAGGAAGAGTGGATGTCACTGTTAGAGTTGCAGGAGACAACCTGGTCCTCAGTGGAGCCCAGGGTGCCCTTGAGGGGGCCCTCCAATGCCTGCTTCACCACCTTCTTGAGGTCATCGTATTCGGCAGCTTTCTGCAGGCGGCGGGTCAGATCCACGGCTGACATGTTGGGGATGGAGACATGGAAGGGCCACGCCAGTGAGCTTCCCATTCAGCTCAGGGACGACCTTGGCTGTAGCCTGGTGGTGCCAGAAGAAACAAGGATGTTCTGGGCAGCCCCTCGGCCATCATGCCACAGCTTCCCAGAGGGACTGCCCACGGTCTTCTGGGTGGCCCTGATGGCATGTGCTGTGGCCATGAGTCCCTCCATGGTGCTCAAGTTTTGTCGTGGATGACCTTGGCCAGAGGGGCAAGCAGTTGGTGGTGCAGGGGGCATTGCTGACAGTCTTGAGGGAGTTGTCCTACTTCTCATGATTCACGCCCATCACAAACATGGGGGCATCGTGACCCTCTTGGCCTCACCTTCAAGTGAGCCCCAGCTTTCTCCATGGTGGTGAAGACCCTGGTGGACTCCATAATGTACTCAGCACCAGCATCACCCCATTTGATGTTGGCGGGATCTTGCTCCTGGAGGAAGGAGGAGGGCTTTCCACTGACGACAAGTTTCCTGTTCTCAGCCTTGCCGGTGCCATGGAATTTGCTGAGAGTGGAGTCATACTGGAACACGCAGATCATGTAGTTGAAGTCAGTGAAGGGGTCATTGATGGCGACAATATGCACTTAGCCAGAGCTAAAAGCAGCCCTGGTGACCAGGTGTCCAAGACGGCCAAATCCGTTCACTCCACCCTTCACCATCCTGTCTCGGGGACACGACTGGGACTGCATTAGAGGATGCGGCTCTCTTTCAAACAGGGAGGAGCAGAGAGCCTTATTTTTGTCTTTTTAAGGGAAATTTATCATCTCTTTTATTTCTGGGTTTCGTATTACTATTTTTTGAGAGAGAGCACACACCACACGCACAGGCAGGTGGGGGCTCGGGGCAGAGAGAGAGAGAAGTCCGCAGGCAGACTCCACGCTGAACACATAGCCCAACATGGGGCTCGATCCCACGACCCTGAGATCCTGACCTGAGTTGAAATCAAGAGTTGGACACTTAACTGACTGAGCCACCCAGGCACCCTGGGTTTTGTATTATTTAAGAAAACCTTTCACCACTTCAAAACTATTAAAATTTTTTTCTTTTTTCCTCCTTTAACACTTTTGTGGTTTAGTTTTTTTCTTTACATTTGACTTGTATGTAATTTGTTTTGATATGAGGTTAGGCCATGGGTGATTTTTTTTCCCCTAACATTTTATTTTTTTTGATAGTTCTATAACCATCTGAAATCATTGTAATAGAAATAAAAAACTTTATTATTTTTAAAAATTTTTTAAGTTTTAGCACACAGGCATGTGAGCAGGATGGGGAGAGGGACAGAGGGAGAGAGAGAATCCCAAGCAGGCTCCACGCTCAGTGCAGAGCCTGATGTGGGGCTCAATCTCCCCACCCTGAGATCATGACCTGAGCCAAAATCAAGAGTCAGATGCTTCACCGACTGAGCCACCCAGGTGCCCTGAAATAAAAAAAATTTATTAAAGAAGGAGGGGGCGCCTGGGTGGCTCAGTCGGTGAAGCATCTGCCTTCGGCTCAGGTCATGATCCCAGAGGTCTGGGATCGAGCCCCACATCAGGCTCCCTGCTCGGCGGGGAGTCTGTTTCTCCCTCTGCCTCTCGCCCCTGCTCATGTGCGTTCCCTCTCTCTCTCTCAAATAAGTAAAATCTTAGAAAAGAAAAGAAGGGGTTTAAAAGTCCCACGTGAGTGTCATTGCACAGATGTGTCCTGCTGGCTGCACACGTCGGGCCGTGGGCACCGGCGACGCTCAGGGAATCGCCTGCTAGGAGCTGCAGTGCGGTGTCCCCACAAGGTCCCTGACCTGCACAGCCACGGCTGGTACCCCGGAGCACAGCAGGAGAGGGCGCGTTCTGGTGGGCGGGTGTGCCAGGCTCGTGGGGGCGGGGTGAGCTGATGTCTCCCTCCCTTAGGGGCGAGCTGGCGGAGGACAGCATGGAGACGGAAAACGCAGCAGCGGCTGCGGCGGCTGCTTTCACAGCGTCCTCGCAGCTCAAGGAGGCCGTGTTAGGTAGGGAGCCTGCCTCCCCTCTCCATGCCCCTGCAGGATGGGCCTCCAGCAAGGAGGGGCCGCCCGCTGGCTCAGGCCCCAGGGTCATCCCGGTATGGCCGGCAGTCCGCGGGGGGCCGCTCCGCCTCTCCCCGTGGGGGGCCGACCGGTGGTTGTAAAATCGTCAGTGCTGGCCTCAGGACCCCTCAGAACAGTGGGAACAAGCTTCTCTAGAACCATCCCAGGAAAGCTTGATTTCATTTCCTTAAGTGGTTCTTCCGTTGAACCACAGCTTAATGTGATTATGGTAAGACTATCATAAAATTGATTTTTGTGACTTTACCTGAACCTCTAATCTGGGACCGATGAGTAATGGCCCTGCCCTATCTCAGTTCTTCTCGGATCTTAATTTCTGGTTTCTGGTTGGTGGCTGTGTTTGCGCTTTTGCAGGCAGTACTTTGGAAAGGTTGTAACTGGTTTTGTTTTTACCCTTCTCCTGTCACCACACCTTGTGAGAAGTGAAGGTGGCTGAAGAAGAGGAGAGCCTGGAGGCTGAAATCGTGTACCCCATTACCTGCGGAGACAGCAGAGCCAACCTGATTTGGAGGAAGTTCGTGTGCCCCGGCATCAATGTGAAGTGTGTCCAGGTGAGGCTCCAGCATGAGCACGGCCATGTGCCCGGCTGCGTCGGTGGGAGGCCCTCGGGGCACGGCAACCTGGGGGCAAGCCTGGGGGTGGTGCAGAAGGGGGGGTTGCATGTGCTTGGGAGGAGAGAGGAGAAAGGGGTAAGCCTTCAGGGATGGACAGGGTTGCTGCTGATGGCACAGGGGAAAGTGTCAGGAGGTAGCGAGTCCTTGTTTCTGGAGTGCAGCTGTGGGGAGAGACTGGGAAGTCGCCCTGTTCATGCTGGGGCAGCCATAGTCGCCAAGCCGGGAGCTGCTTTTTTTGGTAGATTGAATGAGGTGTGTGCTTTGGAAAGACTCATTTAGTAGCCATGAGTAAGGTGAATGGGAGAGGTGTTCTCTTTCTGCCAAGGTAGATTAAGTACCCAGACTCACCTTGTGCTGAAAGTAGCCAAAATCGCTGGTTAAGATACTTTCCTAAAGCATCTTCTAGGTGCCTCCGTAAGCTGGCAAAAATGGTTGAAATACTCAAGCTGAGGGCCCGAGTAAAGGTGGGTTGGGGAGGAGGCCGAGCACCACCTCCAGCTTTGGCTTGCAGAGCCTTTGCCTGCCACCGGCTTTCTCTGCCTTGCAGGGCTGGAGTTGAGAAGGTGCAGCCCAGGACTTCCCTGAGCTGTGTGCTTGGAGGCAGGGATTATCCCCCGTAGTGCTCTTACTTGTAAAGGTCTGTCCCCTCAGTGTCAGGGTGGACCACTAACAACACGCTTCCAGCCCCACTCTGTCCCCTGGGACAGGGAGCCTCCTGCCGCCCATCTTAGCACTGAGGGGAAGAGGGACCCTCTTGAGGAGGATTCGCGTGGGAGTTGTACAGTCGGAAAATCGTGTTTAGTTGTAAGCGGTTCCTGGCTGGTAGTTCCCCCAGGAATCTGACCGAAGCATATGGAGGAACTCTTCTTTATCGGAGGTTCTGAGTGATGTCAGCAGACAGAGTTCCAAGGAAGAAGCAGCTCATTGTAAAGCAAGGAGAAACACTGAGTGTGGGAGGAGACCGCACACAGACCACAGAGAGAACGAAACTCACAGTGCTTCAGGCCTTGGGATTTTGAGACCGGGAATATAAAATAATTATGTTTAATTTATCTCAATAAAAGAGAGGCTTGACATGAGAAAAGCATAAACATATTCAGAAAAACAAACTAGGAATGAAAAATAGAATTAAAATAGAACACTTAGTGGCTAGGTTTTATAGCAGATTAGACACAGTCAAAGAGATAATTTGTGAACTGGAAGGTAGGAGTAAAGAAGTTATGCAGAACACAATCCACAGAAATAAAGAGGGGGTAGAGGCTCGAGACAGGCTAATGCATCAGTTGAGTTGTAGAAGGAGAGAAGAAGGGTCTGAGAAAGTTCATAATGGAGGGAAGATAACTGTGCACAGTTCAAGACATCCAGCAAATCCCAAACTGAATGAGTACAAGAAACCAACCACATTTTAAACAGCTTTGGGAGGCAGCTCGAAGGACTGGCTCCATCCGGAACAGTTTAACACTGAAATAATTAACGATAGTCTGGATTATAACTCAAGTGCAGTAAGAGTCCACAGGTCTTTGTTTATTGCTGTGTGTTCCATGGTGTTTATATCAAATAGAAGTAAAGCTTTTATGTTGGAATGCCAGCTGGTAGACGTGGAAGGGGTGAGGGAGCCTGGGCTCCAAGACTGTACCGGCTGGGGCGCCTGGGTGGCTCAGATGGTTAAGTGTCTGCCTTCGGCTCAGGTCATGATCCCAGGGTCCTGGGGTCAAGTCCCACATCTGGTTCCTTGCTCAGCAGGAAGCCGGCTTCTCCCTCTCCCACTCCCCCTGCTTGTGTTCCCTCTCTCGCTGTCTCTCTCTCTCTGTCAAATAAATAAATAAAATCTTCAAAAAAAAAAAAAAGACTGTACCGGCTGGCTGCCGAGAGCTAGTGGGAGCAAGGTGTGTGCCAGCGTCAGAATATCCCACATCCGTTTGGTGTTAATTGTGGAGGGAAGACAGCCCCTCTGGCAGGGGGCTCCCTAACCAAGTGATGACATTAGTGTCGGGACAGACCTCCGTCACGGGTCCCCCGACCGAATGGGCGGGAAATCGTGGCCTTCCTGCCAGAAGGGCCTAGCCTGATCTTGTCGTAAGAAGACGGGAGGGACAGCCGACAAGAAATTCGCTTGGGTGCTTCAGAAATGTCAAGGTCAGGAAGAGGAAGGTGGACTACTCAGGGAGCAGGTGTTGTGTGCCGTCTGGGCTGGGTCCTGCCCTGGAGATGGATTGCTGCAGAGGCTGTTCTTGGGGCAGTTTGTGAACTCTGCATATTGCCCGTTGATTAGATAGTACACATTAATGGGGATTGCCTGAACTCGAGAGTTGTGGTTGCATAGCAGAACCTTTTCCTGAGGAAATAGATACCGAGTGCAGAGGACGGGGTCTGAGTCTGCAGTTGTCTCTCAGCGGTGTGGAGTAGTCGACGGGGAAGCAGGGAATGGAAGGGCCCCAGGCAGGCAGTTGGGGAGCTAGTCTTCCACTTACTTTGAAATTTCGAAATAATAACGAAGTAAAGAGTGAGAAACAAAAACAGGTTTCCCACAGACAGCATCCTAATGGAACTGTGAGAAGCAGAGAAGGCCCCACGTAGCTGACAGCTCCTCAGGAGCAGGGGACCCGCTGGTGGTGGGGTTCCCGAAAGTGCCGTAGCAGCCGGAGGGCGAAGGAGCTGTGCTGAGGGAGAAGGGCTGCACACAGCGAAGTCATCTTTCCAGTCAAGGGGGAATGCAGATGTTTCAGACAGAACTGCATGGGCCATGAGCAAGTCCTCACTGAAGGGTGTTCGAGGAAGTGTATTTCAGGCGGAGGGAAAGCGATTCCAGATAGGAGTTTTTAGGTCCAGGAGGCGTGCGGAGTGAAGGAAGTGGAAATGTGTGGGTGAGCCCAGAGCTTTGACAACATGTCTTAGGAAGAATCCAGACCAGATAAAACCTGTGGCACCTGGCCGTGGGGTCACTTAGCTCTGGACTCTGACAGCCCAGGTAGGCGCAGCACCCAGCCTAAGAGTAGAGTGTGACGTGCCAACCACTAAGCAAACTCTGGAACTCCGAGAGTGGTGGTCAGCCCAGATGGTGGCAGCAGTCTGGAGGGAGAGAGTGCCTTTCTGCAGATGGAAGTGGAGTGAAGTGTGAGACTCGGGAGAGCTGGATCTGTCGGGTGTAGCTGGGGTGGGCCAGGGACTGCGGCCCAGATGGCGTCACACCCAGGGGGAGGGGGAGAGAGGATGTCATCCTGGGGGAGGGGCAGAGATGGTGTCATGCCTGGTGGGGAGGGGGAGAGATGATGTCATGTCTGGGCGAGTGGGGAGGTGTTGTGCTTCGCTGCTTGGGCTCACAGCCCGTCTCCCCGACCAGCTGAGCGAGGGGTCGAGTGGCTTCCTGGACTCGGTGAGAGCATGTGTGTGGGTGCTCGGGACATTAGGAAGACGACTCCCACCACCAGGGACCCCCAGCTGCTTGCACTTGCTGTGACCTGAGTCTGCTGGAGTTAGCAGTGCTTGGCGCTCTGTGCTCCGAGCAGGACACGCTGGAGGACCCCAGCCAGACCTGAGCCCAGACAGCGGGGGGGCGCATCCTGGGAGGGGAGGCCCAGCGGCACCTCTGTCTCCCCCTCTGCTGAGACCTGGTGACTCATCTGTCTCCTGCCTGCTTGTTTCCTAAGTAAATGCAGTTTTATTTTGATTCTTCGGTTCCAGTGATGACTTGTTTAACACAATTGAATAGGATATTTTAGCTTCTCAAGCCATCTGAGCTCCAACATTGAGTGAAACTGGCCCCCAAACTGTGACATTGAAATGGATGTGTGTGCACTGATGCATGAAATGTGTGCTGTGAGGGGGTGTTAGGGGAGTGTTGGGGTGGGTGAAGGGGACAAATCACAGCTTACCCTACACACTGTCTTGGGTTATTTTGATGTCACGTATGTAGGTGTTATTAATGGAGTAAGTCACACGTAAGTGGGTTTGCTGAGTCCCATCTGGAGGGAGCGAGTGCCTTTCTGAGCACTGTGGTCACCTCCGCTCTCCCTGGCTCAGGCGCACCATCTGTTTCGCTGGCCTCCCTCCCTGGGCTTGGGGGCAGTGCCGGCCACAGGCTGCTGGCAGCAGGAAGCCAGCCCGCCACCCCAGGCCTTGTGCAGGATGGCCGTGTCTTGTGTTACCTGAACTGTTCCTTTCCCCCAGTGATGGTTGCCGCTGGTTGGATCTGAAACGTCAGACCGAGAGCGAGCCTGTGGCTGTTGGCCTCCCCACACCCCTCTCCCTGGCTGGGCTCTGGCAAACGGTCAGGCAGGAGAGGTGGGTCACAGAGGGCCGTCCCGACCCAGCTCTGCTGTGCTTCCCTCCACAGTATGACGAGCATGTGATCAGCCCAAAGGAGTTTGTGCACCTGGCCGGCAAGTCCACCCTGAAGGACTGGAAGAGGGCCATCCGCATGAACGGCATCATGCTCAGGTGGGTGTCTGCGTGCACAGCGAGCCCTCTGCGACACAAGTCAAGTGACCGTGCCAGGCGTCCTTCCGTTGCCTTTTCATTTGCTGTTGAGTTTTTTAAGATGAGGCCCATTCTAAACACGAGCATCCTGGGAATGGCTTCCGCCCACAGCCCTGCCGGCGTGCGGCACCATCAGATCATCAGATTTGTGGGACTTTGTTGTCCTCGCTCGGCCTCCCTGTGCATCCCCGTGTTAGAGAACGTGCTCCTGCATCTCCCACCACGGCCACTGAACCCTGGAGTGCCTGGGCATGGGCGCAGGTCTCGAACCTGGGGTGCGTGTCCGTCTGGCTGTCTGTCCCTTTCTGGCATGGCCCGTCGCCTGGTGAGGGTCCTGTCCCGACCACGTCTGTGTTCAGTGGCCATGTGTCTGTCTCTTGGACCTTCTCTCCACCTTGTTGCTTTCAGGATACAGGCCAGTGGGTTTCCAGAGGGTCTTCGTCCAGATCCCTGACCTCACCTGTCAGGAGATCAGCTGGTGCTGGGTTGACGCCCCATCTCTGGCTGTCGATGGTGGTGTGCTCTTGGTTGGGTGCCCACTTGCTCCTCGCAGGCCTCCTTTTCCCTTTGACGTTAATCAGGAACTTGTAGGAAGTTTTGGGCTAGCTCTCAGCTACTTTACCGACGTGAAATCGCAGAAGAGAGACAATCGGAGTTTGTGCCTCCGTCTCTCAGTTGGCCAGCGTCCCAAGGGGCCTGTCGCTCGTTTGCGTGGGCCAGTCCTCAGGCTGGTGGGAAGGCCAGCGTCCGCTCTGCTAGCCACCCTATGTGTGTGTGTGACCTGTCCCCGATGGCCTTCTGTCCCTTTTCCCGTCACCTGTGAAACAGAAATGGTAATGCCCCTTCTGGGAAGCCTGAGGACAGACTAGGCTTTCAGTCTGTACGCCCAGAATGTCGATTCCCAATCTTCATGTTTTCACATTCCTGCTTTGGTGGTGACAGCTCGCCCCTCCTGATGAGGCAGAGGGCACCTCTCTCTGTCGGCCCCCACCCCTCCATGTGCTCACTCCACGGCCCCTCCTGCACGCCGGTCCAGAGACAGCTGCTGTTTGTGTGCTGTTTTCGGGAGGAGCGGCTTGGTGCTGTTCTTGGGCTTGGGTTTGCTGCCGGGGGAGTGCTGTGACCCTTGGTGAGTCCTGGATTACGGCCCCATTCACTGTCCCTGTGAGCCACAGTCTGGGCCTGACATGGGCAGGTGCCCATAGCCAGAGGCCCAGCCGGCCTGCTACACCTGTGTTCCCGGGGTGTGCCTGCTGCTTGCGCCCCACAGTTGGCCCTGCATCCCATCCCGCACTGCTCAGGCTCCTCTCTAAGCCCCAGCCATGAAGCAGGCCCCTGACTTTCTAGAAAGTGTCTTGGTGGCCTCGCTGTGGCAAGGCAACTGCCGTTTCCCTGGAAGAGCGCTGCGGGGGAGGGGCACCGTGGGTCAGCTGCACGTCCTGAGGTCAGCAGAGGTACACTGCGGAGGCCCAGCGACGTGGAGGTCGCGGGTGGAGAGGGGTGAGTCGAGACGTCTGCACAGTGAAACCCAGGCTCTCCAGGGGCTGCAGTAAAGGGCCACCCTGGGAGGCCTGTCCTGGCAGGTGGGGACGTGCCGTGCCGAGGACGGGAAGCGAGCCACCTGAGTGCGGGGCGAGCAGCCAGAGGCGCCACCACTGTCCTGCTTTCCTGTGTGCGCAGAGGGCCAGGCTGCTCCTGGAGGGTTTCTCGTCCCCCTCTGCCTCACAGTCTCCTTTTGGGGGCGCCCTCAGCCACTTCTGTTAGCCGTGGGCCTGCTCCTCCGGGCCGGCGGGCGGCAGAACATCCCCGGAGGGCCCTCTGGGATGACTTCCTGCCAGGGTCCTCATCTCTCCTTCTGGGTGCCAGCCACTGCGGTCGCGGTCCCCACGGACTTCCCACTTGTGCTGGAAGCTCACTGGCCCAGAGCGTTGGCCGGGGTCGTTGGAGAGGCCTGTCTGGAGCCTCCGTGGCACCCACCTCCCGCCCTGTGCTTAGCCACTCTGCAGCTGCCACCTCCCTGCCTTGCCATCAGGACCTGAGGACGCTCGACAGTGGGGGACGGGAAGGGAGCGAGGCGCCTTGGGGTCCAGCCGTGCACACCTGTGCCTGGACGTGTCCTCCGTCTCTGGTCTCCTTTGCCACAGGAAGATCATGGACTCCGGGGAGCTGGACTTTTACCAGCACGACAAGGTCTGCTCCAACACCTGCCGCAGCACCAAGATCGACCTCTCAGGCGCCCGTGTGTCCCTGAGCAGCCCCACCTCAGCCGAGTACATTCCACTCACGCCTGCCACGGCCGACGGTACGTGCTGGCTCGGAGCCTTCGCTCTTGCCGGCGGCTTGACCCAGTCCCACCCCACCTGCGGCCACGGAGGTGGGCCTCTGCACGCCACTCGTGGGCAGCCTGGCCTCCCCTCTGGGCCTCCTTCCTCACTGAGGGAGTCTAGTTGGATTGCTGTTTTCATCGACAGCGTGCTGGGGAGATGGTAGATGCCAGAAGAAGAGTGTGACGTTGGGCACTGTGGGAACTGGTGGTTGGGTCAGGGAGACTTCGTCCTTTCTCCTTTGTGTGTATTTGAGGACGTGTGTGATTAGGAAGTTTAAAAATAGATGTACCACAGAAGCAAGTAAATCCCTTGATTGCACTGGTACACGTGTTTGTGGATCTTGTGAAAATTGGTGCAAAGGAGAGCTTTGGAGCCTGTATTTGGATGGCGGGCTGGGAGGGTCGCTCCCTGGCTGGCGAGGCTCATGGTGGCCATGTCTGGGTTGCAGTGAACGGGTCTCCCGCTACCATCACCATAGAGACCTGCGAGGATCCCGGTGACTGGACCACGGCCATCGGAGGTACGGGTCCTTCTGGGGGGGCCCCTCGTGGGCAGGGGGCAGGACGTGCTGGGCGGCCCGAGGGGCCTCCTGGAGGAAGTGCCGGTGCAGAGGGTAGAGCTCGGCCCGGGCCCAGGCCCCCGTCTGGAACCGTGTGCACACTGGCCCCCGGGGCCCCCGGGCAGCTCTCTGCGCCTGCCTGTGGCGAGAAGCCTGCTGTGGCTGCTCTGTGGATTCTTCCTGCTCTCTGACCTGCTCCGCCTCTCACAGATGACACCTTTTCCTTCTGGCGAGGGCTCAAGGACGCGGGTCTGCTGGACGAGGTCATACAGGAGTTCCACCAGGAGCTGATGGAGACCATGAAAGGCCTGCAGCAGCGGGTCCAGGACCCCCCCCTGCAGCTCCGAGGTGAGGGCTCGATGTCTGCATGGCATCGGTGGGCACCACCCCCCCCCAGGCTCCTTCCTGCTCTGGGCAGGGGCAGGGGTGCTTGGGTGCTCCCCCCACCCTGCTGTGCCTCTGGGGTGAAGCCGAGTCGTAGGCCCAGCTGTGCCGTGGCTGAGCTTCAGGTGGTGGAAGAGGGCCATGCAGAGGCCGTACGCCTCGCGGGATCTCACTGTGTCTCTGCCGGGCGGGGGGCCGTTCTCACTGTGTGCTCGCCCCTTTAAGATGCCGTGCTCCTCAACAACATCGTGCAGAACTTCGGCATGCTGGACCTGGTGAAGAAGGTGCTGGCCAGCCACAAGTGCCAGATGGACCGCTCGCGGGAGCAGTACGCCCGAGACCTGGCAGGTGCGCCCGGTGCCCGGGGCCCGCCCCTGCGCACAGCCCCGTGGACACTGCTCCTGAGAGAGCCCTGGCGGCGGAGTCCAGAGTCGGGAGGGACCAGGAGAGCCTAGCGCTGTCACGCAGGGAAGCGGGAAGCCGTGACGTGGGGCCCGAGTGTGGAACTCCCCCGCAGTAGTTTACAGGAGAGAAGTGGGAGAGGTGACCGGGAGCCAGCGTGGCCCCCAGACTCACCTCTGGGACGTTTGTGCTTTTCTTTCTGGGGCCCCCTCGCGTCCGTACTCGCAGGGTGTGTGTGCGCAGCAGGTGCCTACAGTGTGGCTTCGACCTACTTTTTATCTCAACACACCACGAGAGCAACTTTTCTGCGGGGATTAGGAGGATTGGAAAGTTAGAACGGGGAGGGTCTGTGCCCTCGTCTGGCGGCTCGGAGTCCGCCTTTGTGACGGCATTTCTGCTTCCTTGGAGGGGCGGTCCACACAGGCCCCCAGAGCGCGTCACTGGGGGGAACGGGGTGGGACAGGGACAGAGTGTCACTGCTGTGTGGGCCCAGGCCCCGCGTCAGGGGGCGTGGGGTCTGATGCTCTCTGTCCCCCCCCGTCCCCGCGGTGACGCTCCCCCCCCGTCCCCCCTGTCCCCCCGTCCCCGCGGTCATGCTCTGCCCCCATCCCCACAGTGACGCTCTGCCCCCCGTTCCCATGGTGATGCTCTGCCCCCCGTCCCCCCTGTCCCCGCAGTGACGCTCTGCCCCCCGTCCCCCCGTCCCCACGGTGATGCTCTGCCCCCCGTCCCCCCTGTCCCCCCGTCCCCGCGGTGATGCTCTGCCCCCATCCCCACAGTGACGCTCTGCCCCCCGTTCCCATGGTGATGCTCTGCCCCCCGTCCCCCCTGTCCCCGCAGTGACGCTCTGCCCACCATCCCCCCGTCTCCACGGTGACGCTCTGCCCCCCATCCCCTCATCCCCACGGTGACACTCTGCCCCCCGTCCCCACAGTGATGCTCTGCCCCCCATCCCCCCGTCCCCGCGGTGATGCTCTGCCCCCCATCCCCCCGTCCCCGCGGTGATGCTCTGCCCCCCGTCCCCCCCGTCCCCGCGGTGCCGCTCTGCCCCCCGTCTCCCCCGTCCCAACGAAGACACTCTACCCAAAATCACCCCCGTCCCCGCGGTGACGCTCTGCCCCCCGTCCCCCCCGTCCCCGCGGTGACGCTCTGCCCCCCGTCCCCCCCGTCCCCGCGGTGACGCTCTGCCCCCCGTCCCCCCCACAGCCCTGGAGCAGCAGTGTGATGAGCACCGCCGTCGGGCCAAGGAGCTCAAGC